CCCCGCCCCCCGGCCGGGGGGGGGGGCGGCCGCACGGCCCTTTTGTTGCCGGCCGCAGCCAGACCGTAGCAGGGTGGGAGTGTGCAGCGCTGCTGGCCCAGGGAACCACGATGCCTGCTCATACCAGCTCAGGATCTGTCCCCGTCCATGCAGTGGAACAAACCAGCCTTTGACACTGACGTCAAGATGAAAGAATATTTGTCAGCCCACCCTGAAGGCGAATTCAGAGGCCATGGCTGCGGCCACCACCCTCCTGTCCCCTCCCGGTCACGGCGCGCAGGCTCAGCGACTGCGCTGGGGTTGGGGGGCACTTTCTCCGCTCCCTGCCTGTTTGCTTTGGGCGGAACGACAAGCAGATGAGTTCTTGGTGTGTGCAAGGTTGGAGAGGTGCGGGGGGATGAGTGTGACCAGGGTGACCGAGCATGGACGCTGATGGGGCTGTGCTTTGCCTTTGCCCAGGAAATCGATGTCATCAGGTCCTGCCAGGAGAGGACGCAGCGGTACCTCGACGAGGCAAAGGCCCAGCTCACGTAAGGAGAGCTCCTCGTCTCACACTGCAGGGCCAATGTGCAGTGGCAGCTGCAAAGCGAACCCCCATCAGACCCCTACCTCTACCCTGAGTAAAACCCCTGCACGCTCCACGAGAAGCGGGCAGTGATGCTCGTGGGAGCAGGCAGCTGCCCAGCTGGGAGCCGCGGGGAAGCGGGATGGGGAGGAAACCGTTCCATCCGTATGTCCCCGGTGACGGCCACTGTTTGTCTGTCGAAGTTCCAACAGGGCAGCCCAGCACGAGTTGGAGAGGGACCTGGTCAACAAGCAGGTGGCCCACCACATCGACAACAATTGCCACCAGCTGAGGAACACCTCGGGCGGCATCAGCTACTACTGAGGGGTGGAGTGGGTTGATGCCACGTGAGTGCACGCCGGGCAGCATGTGAGCGCTGAGCCGTCCTCAGGATGCACGGTGCCTCTCCGTGGCAGGAGAGGCAGGAGTTGTCCCCAGCCCGCTGTAAAGGCGTGTGTCTCTCCACAGCATGTCCATCCCGCCTGGAGACACCCACCTCAGAGTGGCCACTTCCCTCCGCTTGCCATAAAGGGAGACCAACCCTCTGCTTTCAGCTGGATGAAGAACATCCAGTAGGCAAAAGCGAGTCCCATCTAGTTAAACATTATATCCGGGTTCAGAGATCAGCCTGAAAATGAATTCAGTCCAGCACCTCTGCACAGCTCATTAAGTTTATGCATATTTTCAAAGATCTGTCAGTGCTTGCCTGAGTGCTCTTCATTGACGTGAAGTCTGGGGGCTTCACCCCTGCCTCGAGAGGGCCTGGCAGGGAGCCGAAATGACACAGAAGATAAAGCAATAGAGAGCATGGTCCCGGGACAGAGTTCAGCTGCTTTTGGGTGCCAGGAATTCGGCTTTGGCTCCACAGTAAATGAATGGTGACCGACACGAGCACTCGCAGAGATATGCCCTAAGTGGCAAAGGGCTGAGGGAATAAATCTGCTGCTCACACAGACACATGCAGTTTATGGGGGAGCGTAGATTGGTTCAAGTTTTCTAGTGTTTGAATAATTATTCACAGCAGGGCTCAGGCATATTTAGACAGGAAAATGAATTGCAAAGGATCGCTGCTAAAATTCAGAGGGTGGTAAAATGTGCCGAGGATCAGCATGTTTTAAATGGAGCTTATCTGGTATTGAAGTCTTTTGTTGACCTTGTTCTGGACTGCTGCAGAGACCTGAACTTCGTCCTGAATGCACAGACAGGGAATCCAATTCTATCTAGTGCTCGTTCAGTTGAATAGGAAACCGAGATAAGTTACGAGCAAAATTAATTGACTGCAACCTGCACGTTGTCCTGAGGCTGTGAATCACTTGGCACTTAAATGCCTCGAACGTGTAAATACGAGGTCTGACTGAAATCTCTGTTTTTCTGGGGGAATCTTTTGTTTATCTGAGCTTTCATAAGTATCACAGTGGTCTTCATGAACGTGTCCTCATTTGATAAGCGTTGCTGAGCAAATGGTGTCCAGATGTTTCACTTCCGTGTGGTCCAATTAAAAGCATAGATTTAACCTGTATTTAATCCCCGCTGATCGCTGGCGGGGTCTATGCCTGCCCATGTCCAGCCTCAGCAGAACGGCCTTACCGGGGGCCTCTCCTTTCTCCGCCACAGGATCTCGGTGCCGGCATCGTGGGCCAAGCTCACAGACAACAACATCCTCCTGTCCCAGAGTGAGCGGGCAGCCTTGGCCAAGCTGCGGGCAACATCAAAAACCTGCTGGTGGTGACGGCCAACGAGATGTGGCACCAGTTCGACGCAGTGAACATTGCCTTCACCAACCGCATCGCCGAGACCGCCGACGCCAAGAGCAAGGTTCAGACCCACCTGGCCAAGGTAGCCTGAACCCCTCCCTTTCGGTGTGACACTGTCGCTTCCCAGGGACACCACCCTCCACACAGAGGGACCGTTGCTGCAAGAAGCTGGTTATAGTGTTGCTTTCTGTTTGAAACTCAGAATACTGGGGACTTTCTTCTGGAGCAGGATGAGCTGGCACTGTAACTTCATCTCCAGGGATACTGCATTTTGCTAGCGCATCCTGGCTGGCAGCCTGGCAGCACAGAGATTCCCAGCACAAAACACAAATGCTGGATGCATCTCCTGGTAGTTACTCCAGAAATGCTGGCTGCCCTGCAGAAAGTCTTTGCTGGGCCTCTGCTGGGGTGCCTGCAGGCTCGCTTCTCCTCCGAGGACGTGCTGTCAGCCTCAGCGCTCTGTGTTTGCTGCACGGTTGTCCGTGTGTTTCCCGCATTGCTCTGCCAACCGGAGGAAGTGGAGATCAGTGCTGGGCACCTCGCTCAGACCAGGGTATCCCATGGGAAGCTTCTTGAAAAGTGCTTGACTCAGTATTGATTAACTGAGGAGAGACTGGGCTCACAGCACTGCAGGCTGATGCCACGCCCTTAAATGAATGTCCATTAAAAACCTTCCCTCTATTAGTTGCTATTGCTGGATGATCAGCTCCTGCAAGCAGTAATTTTGGGAAGCTAGTAATTTAATATATCTATTACTGCTCAAAAACCACCTCTAATGTGACAACAACAGCAAAGCAAGGTTTTTCCCTGAAGAGAAATCTCTGCTGGATCTATGCCTTGATATGTGGCAGTGACAGTCGTCTGAGCCCTGGGTCTGCTTATTGAACTTGTGCTTTCCTGCAGGCAGACAGGAGAAAAGGGAAATGATGTGGTCACTTGAGAATATACTTTTTTAATCTGTGCGTTTCTTTTTCACTCCAGACACTGCAGGAAATCTTCCAGATTGAGATGAACATAGAAGCCATCCGAAAAGCCATTAGGGACAAAGGGCCTGTGTTAAAAGTGGCGCAGACCTGGCTGGATGAGCGCACACGGAGAGCAAACGTGGAGCTGTGCCGGGACACTGCCCAGCTCCGGTAAGGCAGGAGCGCAGGGCTGGCAGGGTCCTTCAGAAGTCACTGGTGGTAGCACTCAAGAGAGTCACTGGATGACAAAATTAATAATTTCATTTCTTCTAAACAGTCCTTCCATAAGTGCACTGATATAATCTAAAGCAATGAGCAGGTATCCCAGCCTTTGGGTGCTGGGAGAGCTCTGTACCCACGAAGGAGGCTGCACACCATGGCTGGGCACAGCCTGATGCCACCACATGAGGGGCTGCATTTTTCCCACTTGGGTAAACCTCGTCTTCTCTCCTGCCTGCTTCACCGTGGTCGGATGCGCTCACTTTTGAAGGATAAGCCCTTTACTCTCCAACAGGCTCGCGCTGAGAGCACTTAACTCCTTCCTTTGGTGTAGCTGCAAGAAGGAGTGCACCATCGGGAGAAGGAGTAAACGCTGTCCTCCCCGCCGCTTGGGATGCTGGAAATCCTTTCAAGGACACAGTGAGCTCTTTGGGATTGTAGCCTGAGGGGCCGTGGAGGAGCAGGCTGCCCCCGGCAGCACCCCTGGGAGGCACCCTGAACCTCACACCTCCTCCTGGGAGCCCTCTGGGCACGACTCTACGCGAAGCCTTTTGAAAGCAATTTCAACCCAGCCCCAGAGCCTGTTCAGCATCTCGCAGGCTGTTGTTTTTTCCATCATCTGCTTGTTTCACATTCACTTTCAGCCTCTCCCGGCTGCCCCGTTTTGCTGTGTTTTCTTCTGTGGGTGCGGGGAGGATCCCTGCGCAGTGAAAGCCAGGAGGGTGAACTGACAAACCCGCAAAACCAAACAGGAACAGGAAGGCACAGCTGCTCATCCCTCCTCTCGGTGGCACGAGCTGCGCCGGGAGACGCGTCCGCCAGAAACAGGGATCTGAGTTTGTCCGAGCACGCTGAAGGCGGAAACCCTGTGCCCAAGATGCCCGTCAGCAGCACTGTGCTAGAAACCACCTCTGTGATGGTGGGACCGTTAACAGGGCTCTCTTGCTGTTTTCCAGCCTCGTCAACGAGGTCCATGAAATCGAGGAGACGATCCAGAGCCTTCAGCAGCGGCTGAGAGACACCAAGGACGCGCTGCAAATGCTGGTTCATGCCAAGTCGGTCTTGGAGCGTGACCTGGCCATCAAAGCCTACTCGCTCTTCATCGACCAGGAGAAGTGCATGGGGATGCGCAAGACCTTCCCCAGCACCGTGCGGCTGGTGGGTTACATCTAGGCTGGGCTCAGCCGAGCCCACGGTGTCTGCTGCAGGAGGTATTCCCAGTTTTTCTAGGATATATTCCCAGGTCTGTGAAGATGCATTGAAAACACATGATTAGACTTCCACTTCCTGATGAAAGCCCTGAGCAGAAATTAAATTATTACTTTGTGTTACATGGTCTACGAGGATTCCCCCCCCCGCTTTGGTTTTCTCTTTCCACTGCTCTTTCACGGCGTGCCAGAAATTACAGAATCACAGAATCACACAGAATCACAGAATCACAGAATGTTAAGTGTTGGAAGGGACCTCTGTGGGTCATCTAGTCCAACCCCCTGCCGAAGCAGGGTCACCTACAGCAGGCTGCGCAGGACCTTGTCCAGGAGGGCCTTGAATATCTCCAGAGGAGGAGACTGCACAACCTCCCTGGGCAGCCTGGGCCAGGGCTCCGTCACCCTCAGAGGGAAGAAGTTCTTCCTCATGTTCAGACGGAACTTCCTGTGCTTCAGTTTGTGCCCATTGCCCCTTGTCCTGTCACTGGGCACCACTGGAAAGAGTCTGGCCCCATTCTCCTGACACCCATCCGCATTTATAAGATCCCCTCTCAGCCTTCTCTTCTTCAGGCTAAATAAGCTCAGCTCCTTCAGCCTTTCCTCATCCTGTACGCAACTAAGGGTAAATCCACCCACAGGGATTCATTCCTACCCTTTCAGTCTGTGATTTTAGGAGAAGAAACTGCTGTGTCTTCCTCCTTTTGAGTCTCTCTGATGTGGAAAAGCACATGGGGAGTGAAGTTAGTTGTCAGAGTAATTCGCTGTTGACATCCATAATCTGTTTTTAATGGCGCGACAGGAAAAACACAAGCTATCCCATAGCATGTTGCAGTATGTTCTGTTCCTAAATAGAAAAACTTGCATTTTAAGCTGATATTTATTTTCTTGCTTTTGAAAAATCTTAAATGCCATTTAAACTGTCAGTGCTGTGGTCTTAAAAAGAGGAAGTACTTTTGACTAGCTAATTGAAAAGAATGCTGGGGTTTTAATTTTGGTGAGCATGGATTGGTTCTTAATTTAAACTCTTGCATGTAGTATGTTGGTGGGAACACCAAAGCACTTTGAATATAAAGAAATGAATCAGCCACCCTGCCTGCCATGGTACCTGCTGTCTCGCTGTACATCAGACCTGTTTTACCAAGTATTTGAATTTTCAGAGGGAGAAGTCTTTAATCAATCTGAGGTTCAGTGTGAAAGTCACTTTGCAGATTATCTCCTTAGACTCACGTGTTGCCTAGACACTCTTGTACTCTTCACCTCAGCAGAGTTGAGGTCAGCCTAAAGCCTGTAGGCACTAAGAATCCCAAAGGAGCAGAAGCTCAGGTCCCTTCTCCTCCCTTGGGAATCCAGGGCACGGATCTTCTGGCCCAGTATGAGGGGTCTGGGGAGCTGAGAGCATCTCTTCTTGCCTCGCATCCCCAGGTGACTCCTTCTCACAGCACAGGTCCAGCCAGACCTGCCCGCCCTCCCTGCTGTCCCAGGGGCAGCCCCCCGAGAGCTGGAAGCCGCGCCAAGGGCCTTCAGCCCATTGGCAGGATCCCTCTTCACAGCAGCAGCCCTAAACAGGAAGCAATTGTCTTTTTAATCTTTTTTTTTTTTTACTAGCACTTTTGTCTCATGGAGACTAAAACCAGGTTTCCTCTACTCTGTGTGTAACTTGGAGCCAGAGTCTGTTGGAGACAGCAGCCACGATTTCTAAAGAGAAGACGCAACCATAAGCAGGCAAAACTTTCCAGCTCATCGCACTTTCCCTTTCTCCACCTCTCTCCCTCCCC